GAGAATCATTAGCTAATACCTTTGGAAATTTTTAATAAATCGTTTAAGTGACAAGGAAGTTTTCAAGCACGTAGAAAGAGGAGAGAGTCTGGCTTGATACCCGCGTGCTGTTGTCCAGCCAGGGAGTTTGACAGATGGGCAATTCCCTTGATGGGGCGTTAAACCTTTCAACCACCACGACACCAGGGCGGCTGCTTTGGTTCAGGTATGCCGCACTCTAAAGCTAATGCACTCTTTAAGCTGCAAGACAATGACTTTTGGAAAAAACACTGTTTTCAAAACAGAGCTCTCTCATCAATCAGCCAAGGACCTTTGAAATGACTAAGAAACCAACGGTGTCCGTGCCCGGAAGGCTTGCGGAGGGGCCGCTGCCCGCCGAGCAGGACGGCCGAGCTGTGTCCGCAACGCAGCCTGTGCCTCGCTGAACGGATCGGACCGTCCGCCCGCAGCCCCGACGTGCGCGCCAGTCTCCGGAGGGTAGAGAACTGCTTAGCTTGGTAGAACACAAGGGGGAAAATATCCACTTTTTGGCCACAGAAACAGTCGCTATAGCTTGAAAACATCACTGCTGCCCAGACAGTCATATACTGATTGTTTCTGAGTAGATTACCTACATCGAAGCAGTTGTGCTATTTTTAGCAGAAGTTTAAATTGAAGGTAGGGTCAGCTCTCCTCGGTGAAGTACAGCACTTGACAGTTTCCTTGAAGGCCTTGGCATTACAGCTGAGGGTTTGAACATGTTATTTGTGCCGTCACCTGACACGATGAGCATCTGATTCTGTTTTGTTAAATTAAAGATCAACTGTAAAACAGAACGGGATTATAAACCTCGCAAAAAGGCAGTTTTTGAAGCTTAAAGTCTAAAACTTCTTGTTAGGCAAAGCCTTAATTGTGACAGGAAGCTTTTCTGATTGACCTTGTTCACACTGAAACGATTACGGCAGCCAGCACACAGGTACGTGTTACATGGCAAAGGACACTCCCTGCAGTGCAGGGGTGGCACTTTTGCCATGGAATAACTGAAGTTACCTTGGACTCACACAGTTAATCCAATCAAGAGAAACAAATGAAAACTGCAGAAACATGGAAAGAAGTGAGAGAGTTGAAGAAAGATTTCATCTTTTTGATGCGCTGTGATAAGTATCTCTGTACCATTAATAGTTACTTGAACAATGATACGTCTGACAGTGTCTTCTTTGAGATCCCACCTTAAGGGTAGGTATCAGAACTAATCAAAAGTAGAAATTGTAATCAAACCACAGTTGCAGTTGCTACTTGTTAGGTTACCCGAGGTAGTTTTTAGGTTACCCGAGGTAGTTTTAAGGGTGAGAGGTTTGGGTGCTGCTGGTCACACAGGAAGTGCTGGCTCCCTCCTGTCTGTGTGAGAGGAGCGAGCGGTACCAGGCTGGATTTCCAGCTGACTGTCTCGCTGCAGTGGTGTGGAAATAACCGACGGTTCTTGGTCTGTTGACAGAACTGAAACCACTTCTGTTTTACTTGTGTTTGGTAAATTTGTGTAGAAGCGAGTTCAGCACTCAAAAGCTAATCCTGCGCGCACACAAGTTAAAGAGCTCAGTCAAGACACTAAAACTCTCATGGGATGACCCATTTCTGAGAAAAGGGCGATCGGGACGGCGTGGGCAGGATGAGGGAGATTCAGACGAGTACTTGCAGCGATCCCAGGTGAAGCCTACCTTTTGTGTGGAGAACCAGAACGTGAGCCCAGAGACTGTCCATTCGTTCTTGCAGACTGTAGCACCTTCGCCACGTACCTGCGAAGGAGATCATTGTCGGTCACTGATTTTTAAATGGGATTTTGAACACATCACACATGGCAGATTTTCCTCCCAAACTTGTACTGCCTTCCTGAACAGCGACTCGGGCTCAGGTCAGCTGGAGAATTAATTACTGGATAAGCAGGTGCTTCGAACGCTTTGCTTTTCCGTTCTGCAGTGAATGCCGCAGGAGAAAAGCCTTTGGAAGCCACCACTCGAACCGTGCCCAGGCACTGGCAGAAGCCCTCCCTCGGCCCCATCTGGTCCTGGGCAAAGCCTCTTTAAGCCACTATCAAGGACAAGGCACGTAGTCACCCAGTGCAGCAGACGCTGCGCCAGGACAGTCAGAAAACAATCAGGTGCTGACGGGCCAATGCTTCTGACCCAGGGATCCTGTCTTGGGACCCATCTAACAGGGCAAACAGGATGTCCCACAGTCCAACCCTTTACAGGAAAAAGCCTTTAAAAACAAAAAAAAAAAGCCTGAGGTCTAGGGCTACTTAACTCCCGAGTGTTTTTTTTAAACCATTCTTTAATTTTGTTTGTTTATTCTAACAGAAGCGTGGTGCTGGCCCTTGAAAAGGGGACAGCAGCTGCTACCGTCGTTAACACGTCCAGATTTCTCATTGCGACTGACGTTGCTTTTTCAGCGCCTATAATGTCTCTTAAGCATGAAAGTGTTTGCGCACACGAATCCTCACACGATCAGTTTAAGTGAGCTAAATTAGTTGGGGGTTTTTAATGGAATGTTCTGACATTGTACAAAGTTTTAGGTTTTTTTTTCCAGTAGCCCTTCTTGTGTATACAGAAGTCTCATGTAGAGAACTTTCTAAAATAAAGTGTGAATATTTTTATTACTCCTTTGTACAGTATTCTAAGAGGAACTAATAAAGTCAGTCTTCATGTAAACACTTGAGTTTGACTCCCTGAATTTTCTTGTGGATGGCTTTTGCCTTTAACCCAGCACAGGAAACAAAGACTATGTGGCAATTCCGAGCCCACCCAGTGACCGACTGCAGCAAAGCAAAGAGCCTGCAGCCCCTTGGCCGGGCCCCGCACCGCTGCTAACAGCGAGCCATAAAGCACAGAACGTGTGTACATCGCTGCTCAGCCAAAGTGCCTCCAGAAACAGAATATCGTCCCCAACACCACACTAATTAGTTACTTCTCACCGTGTAGTGAAATCCCCCTAAACCAGACCACGCTGTTCCTCATCCTAACAGACCAGAAGTAGAAACAAAAACCAGACCCACGCTAGCAGTCAAACAAATCTTACAGGAGCGGCAGAGCTGTACAACACGTTAAAGCGACCCACAGCCACGAGCAGATCTCGACAGGCTGACCCCAGGCAGCAACCGAAACTTCCCGGAGGAAGAACGGTGCAAGTGATGGGCTTTTTGCACGCTAATGCAGCGGAGGCTTCTGGGTCTCTGGGCAGAAAGGCGGGGACAGAGTGTTTTCCCAGCCCCGCTGTGTCGAAGCGCCCACACCAGTTCAAAGCCCAGCGGGCTGCTCCACACATTGCCCTCCAGCAGCCGGTCAGAAGCCACTCGCTCCTCGAACAGGCAAGTACATTTTTAAGAGCTTTTGGCAGGGAATGGGGGGGAGCAAACTGTTCTCGTTTTGGTTTTGCCTCTTTTTGAAGCCTCCCACGCGAACAAGCCCAACAAGTGCTACTAAAATGACCCCCAGTTAAGCACACGACTATTTCCCAGCCCCACCGCGTACAACGCGCCATCCTCTGGGATGTAACAGTCTTTCCCCTTTCTGGAAGAATCGGACTCAGTCTCTTTTTTCAGACCCTTGTGGGACATTAGGGAGAGGGAAGACATCCCCTATCCACTATCTGACCTGTAAACAGGGATCAGCACCTCTTCTCTAATGTGACTTGATAAAGCAGGGTGCAGAGGAGAGGAAAGACCTCACGCTTCTCCTCAATCCGTATGGGAAGTTTTTTCGTTTCTAGATTGAAGGGGGTTTTTGCCATGTCTTAGCACGCCAATGGAAGCAAGAAGCAAAAGTGAGTCTCCGGAATAAAACCAAGCTGTGACAGGAAACCAACAGTGATTTCGATTCTGCCTCGCAGACACCCAGCTCTCCCTGCAGGGTACAGGCACAGCACCAGGGCACACCCAAGCAGCTGTGCAGGGGTGATTTTTTAGCGCTTTTGGGAGGAGACTTGCCATAGAACAAACTCTCCCACTTTCCCTCAACCCCCTGCTCTCTCAGCACTTTCACTTGCCGTATGACTTCAACGAAACCGTTTTTCTAACGCTGTGTTTCGTAACAACACCGCTCCGTTCCTGTCTGCCAGGCAACGGGGAAAACGCTGAAGGAGTAAAAACCAGCAAGAAATTGCTCAAGCTTTTTTCCTCTTAAACTGGTGTCAGGGCAATGCGTTAATTAAAGATTAAAGCATTTTGGACCAGGATAGATCCTAGGCTAAGGAGCAACGTCTACTTTAGTCATGAAAACTCTGATGGTAGGTGCTGGTGCGTGCAACAAGTTCCCTTCCTTGAGCGAGCAGGGCCAGGCGGCGGTGCTGGAGACCAGCCCCCGCAAACACTGCGGGCTGCGTTCTCGGTCCGCACGGTGCCTGGGAGCTCCCCAGCAAAGGGGGATGAGGCTGAACAAGCCTCGTTACCAAGCCACAGCTCATGCTCCTGCCCCTCCGAGTGCTCCCTATGAACAGCCCTGTGAATCTTGTGTCTCTGTACTAATCTGGGCTTTGTTGGGGTTATCATCAATTTTGAAAAGTCCTTCATTATTAAAAAGTAACATAGCTGGTTAAAAACCTTCTGCTTGTATTTCAAGTAATTTTGCTAAACCTGTCTTGCCCCTTTCCTAAGGCACCAGTACACTCCGCTTTGCTTCACAAATTCATCCAGCTGCAGCAGAATGTTTAAGAAAGTCACCCAAGCCATAGCTGATGAAATGGATCCAAGAGGAAAACTGGTCCCAGTCCACAGCCTCTTAGACCAGGAACATTTCAAACCCCTCTGTCTAGTGAGAAGAAAAAACAAATCCATATTCCACCGATCTCCCCGCTACCTACAGACATGGTACACACTCGACGATCTGCTGCTGCCTGCAGAAGACAACAAAAGCACAGGTAAAGCCCACTTTTATCATTCTTAAGTTGATCATTTCCATAGACAAACCAGTCGGGTCATTTGTGGCTGAACTCTACCACATTTCATCTTCCTTGTTCGTTACCACATCAATTCTGTGTAATCATGCTCACGCTAGTGCATCAAATTATTTCAGAGTCCCTCTTTCCCAGCGGGGCTGGTCAAAATTCAAGGCAATTTACAGTCAAAAAAAGAACCAGTGACAGAGTTGATGGGAGTCTAAGCCTTTGTGTTGACTCGGCCAGCGTCGAGCTGATAGGAGCTGCCTCCTTGTCCAAAGGGTGGTCCATCAAGCTGGAGAAGAGCCACATATCGCTACCAAAACTTGATGCACTGAAAACAGAAAGGTAAGCAGACACACAGGGAGAACGTACCCTCCGGGCAGCCTCTTCTACCCCATGCCAGGTCACACAATGGCCTTTCAACTGCCAAAACCCAAGATTAAGACCCGAGAGGGTGCATTCTCCCTAAATATGCATGTTTCTGGAGGACAGGAGAGACAGCTTTGTAATGCTTATAGATTTCCCTGTAACTCAGAAGTATTCCCACCTTCCGGCATGGAGTCAAGCCACCTTTCCTCATGGTTTGTACCTGGAGAGGAGCATATAGGTCAGGACAGATCACCTGTGTGACCTGCCCGGCCACAGCCTCGCCGCTCCAGACCCCTCAGACACAGAAGGGGAACACGGTGAGGACAGCAAGAATTGCAGCCCATTTTCTGCCACCCTTCTTCCCCCAGAAGCCCCTGACATTGTGATACTTACACCTGCCCATGTAGCACGAGAAAGGACACAAGCATACGGCTGTTGGTTCCCAGAAGAGCACAGTACTTTTACCATAACCACAGAAAAACCACCGGGACATTGCATCCTTTCTCTCTTTTAGAAAAATAAACCTGAATCACTCCTTCATCCAACAACTACAGAAAACACAACAAAGTTTATATGTGGTTCATGAAGCAATAGAAACTGCCGAGGAGGCCAGCTACGAGGAATCCACCGGGGCAGAGGGGAGCTTCATGACCCAACTTTACGCCAAGTTCTGTGCAAAGGTTTGCAGTCTCCTCAGGCGCAGAAGCCAGTCCTTCCCCAGCATCCGCACGCCGTCCAGGCCTAGTAACGCATTTTTGTCACTGACCAGGGCAACCACGAGAGCAAAGCAAGCATAACCATCCCCAAGGGCTGCACCCTGGCGTTCAAGGCAATCCATCTCTACATCACAGACTCATCGTGGGGTAAGTCACTTTCAGAAACTAGCGACTCCTCCATTCAGGAAACAAGGCAGAAGGGGAAAAACAATTTCTGAAGCATCATTCAGCCTCACGGCCACCCTCGGCTCATTCGCAAGGACGTGAACAGGCGCAATAGGGGTGACAGAAACCACCCGGGGGAAGGGCAGGCTGCGGGTGTAAGTTAAAAGAGCGGCTTGGGAAAGAGATGCCGTTTGGGTGGTGTTGGTAAGGAACTGCAAGAGGGACACTGGAAGCCTCAGCTCCATTTCAGGAACCGCAGAGCTCCTGTTGAAAACCGTTGGGGGGGTTTCATTCTTTTCTTTCCCTACTCAGAGGAAAAGAGCCAGGGAGCAAACGGGGTGGTTGACCCTTCAGCGGGAAGACCGGTGCAAAAGACTCTTCTGCAGGACAGGCAGAGAAAGAGAGGGCTGAGATCCACAAAACCCGCTGCAGGATTTCAGGGACCGCGTTTGGCTCGTGTCCTCTGTGCTCCACACTTCCCGTGCCTGCACGGGTCTCGCTGAGACTAAGCCGCCATTTTCATTTCCTCCTGTTTTAACACCCTAACTGGCCGATACAGACCCCAGGGAATGAGGTCTGGGAATAACGAGTTTTAAATGAAGGGGCAGGAGACAGATGCGCTAAAGAGGGCAAACGCCAGCCTGACCTACGACCCGCACGTGAGATTTCACACCTGGGACACCAGGACCTTCAGACTTCAAAACAACAACCCTGGTAAAAAAATACCCATCCAGTTTTAAGTATTTTTCTAAATCGGCAATGCCCTTTTTATCCCGTTGCAGATCTTACGTATTTCCCAAAACAAGGAGCACTCGCATCTGATAGTAAGCAATTTATTTTACTACTTTTGCACTACTTTTACCCCCTTTGGGTTAAGATGGAATCTCTCAGGACAAACACAAACCACCAAAATCAATGTGTTTACTGTAGAGTACTGCCTGTTACCTGAGACATGGCAACTGCCCAACTCAGAATTTTTTATTGCTTAAAAATGTTTTCACGGAAATATTGTAAATTCTATATTTTGGGGTGCCAGCGGACTTCTTGTGCAATTGCCTAGTTTAGAAGTGACATGTTTGGACTCTCTGGTTTTCAGGTCTCTCACAAGGAAAATTAGGACCGCTGGAAGCAGAAGTTAGAAAGAATTGTCAGATTCTCTCCATGTTGTCTGATCTGTTCGCCATACTTTTAAAAGCCATCAAAGCTGTGATGAGAGACAGGAATCTCTTTCAAGAACTGACCCAGAAAGTAAGCAAAGCTCTTCTTACTGCCGGGATTTATAAACGCAGAGACATCCCAGACCACATCTCCTGCCCCAGAGGTCGTCTCTGCCAGGCCACAACTATCAGTCGCTCAGCACATGTCAGGTCTCCATCACCACAGGGAGAAGGAAGGGGCTCAGGACAGAGCCACCTGCTGAAACGTGTCCTGAATACAGCCTAGCAGGTTCACCTGAAGGTGTCAAACCACTTCATATTCCGCCTCTAACTGGAGCGGTGTGACCGCTAAAGCCGCAATTACCGCCTCATAAACAGCTAAGGGACGGGGGACACACATTACGTGCCTGTTCCCATGCCTCTGCAAGGGACTATCCACGGCCTCCCCTCTTAAATCCTGACATTTTTTCTTAACCCCCCAGATGCAAGCAGTTCTTGATGAAGCTGGTAGCTGTGAGCTGGAAACAGAAAGCCCAGACTTAAAAGACCTGCTGAGCAGCTTACGGGACTCTTCAAGCCAACTTCTCCTTCCGCTGGCAGGAGCAATCACCTACACTCTCGACGCGTTAGATGGTAAGGCTGTCGGCCATTTTAATAGAGAAATCCAGTAGCACCAGAACACATCCCAAGCATCCCCACCGACCAGACTAGCAGAACGCAGGAAACTTGCAGAGCGCAGGAGACTTGCCGAGGATTCACATAACAGCATTCCTTAGGCTGTGGGTGAAGGCGGTTTATGCCGAGAGCACGGACCCGTCCGTAGCAGCCGCCGTTCAGCCCCAGTCGCAGAGCAGCGACTGCCGGGAGCACGACACCGCATGACCACTCTGCCCAGGAACATCCTGCGCGAGGGGATCCTCGAAAAGAGGCTGGAAATCAGAATTAGAACACGGGCAAAGATGGCAAAATCGCTTTACAGCAGGAGCAGTGCAAGTTCCAGGGTTCTTTTCCCAAGGCTGCAACAAAACGCGGCTTGAGCCTCGCCTCGGCCCCGTGCTCTCTGCACGCCATGTCACAGTCCTCCGCGCAGCGTAACCTCGCCTCACGGGGGGGCTGCGCTAATCATCAGGCTTAACACACTGGGAGAACTCCTGAGCGAGGAGACGCTCCCTGCAAGACAGTCGACGGTCACCCTTCACATCCCACCAGTTGTCTCTGGAACACTGGTGGGGGGTTCAGGTACAAACTGTTTTCATTTGCAGAGCTAGCGGAGGATCAGCTGCTGCTGTTGCTGCAGTCCTTGGAAGAGAAGATCGTGTCCCAGCAGCTCAAGCTGGTGAGAGAACGTGCATCACGTTTGCCTCTAGATGAAAGGGTGGGGGGGTCGTTTCAATCAAGCAATATGATGTAGGTAGCGGCCCCCGCTGGGAAGAAGAGAAGGAATAATTGTTCCAAACTTGGCAGGGATCGCAATACTCACTTTGAGAGAAATCACCCCAAAACATCAGGAGTTACGATTTCTAACAACTGTTTTGCTGGTAATAAGTGTTAAATTGGACACAGGTGACTACCATTTTTCTGAAACAGCAGGCAGAAGTTTCTGGCTGCTTTGGCTCCAGATTTTAAAAAACAACACAAAACCGCACTGTGATTTTAATTTCTCGGACATAACGAATTCCTAAGAAATTGGGAACTGAATACACAAGCGGGATAACCTTCCAGGGTGAAAAGTCCCATATATACAGGTGGAGAATTTAGAGCACCCGTTAGAGGGTAAAGCACCCCACAAGTCAAAGAGATCATTTACTTAATGCCTTCTACGGATGGGAGCGTTAAAATACTGATTTTGCTTTTTTTTGTTGTTGCTGTGAAGGTTAAGAGCATCTTGGAATACAACATAGAATGCAGGAAGGAGCCTTTCCGCGTGGACGCCAGCTTGCTGTCCTTCTCACAGGAGATGGAACAAGAATTGACCATTGTGATGGTGGAGATGAGCGGAGTGAAGCTCCAGAAAGACGGATCTGCCATCTGCACTGGAGAAGCCTTCTCAGCCATGGCAGCCCTGTACGTGTCTCTCTACGTCCTCGATCTCCTGAGTAACTCAGATTAGGTCCCGCGTGTCCTCCCACTGGGGATGATCTGAAGGGAACCACTTGATAATCTACGTGGAAGTCTCTTGCTGCAAACCAGTTCCTCTCTCCAAACTTTACCCCTACACAGGCGACACGTTCCTTATTAAGGCTCAATGCTGCTTTGGAGTAGGAAAAGCAGACTTCTGGCAAGGAAACTCCCTATGGAAGCCAGAAGCTGATACCAAAATTGACCTCCCCCCTGCCATATGAATGCAGAGTGCCAGCTGAAATATCCGCTTGCCCAAATAACCACAAGCCTCTCAATTGTGCTTTATATAATCCTGGCTTTCCTAAACGATGCTGCTACACAGCCACATGCAACCAAGAAGGCGCAAAGCAGTAAATACATCAGCAACAATTCACTTGCCCTGGTCACACCTGCGATTCGTGCGTGACTCAATAAGCTGTGGGGTCTCAGAGCACTTTAATGATGCACACGTGGTAAAATGGCACCTCCACCACACCATTACCCATCCCACCAGCAGCAGGAAGGAATAAATTACATCTCAGAATGACAAATACTTTGATAGCTGCTTTATAACCGCTTTATAAATAAAGAGAATAATTTCTTACTGAGTAACTGGGTGTCCTCAAAGGCAATTCTTTAACCCGCAGGTGTGCTCAGCTGCCCAGCGGTGCAGCCTGCCTGGTGGCCCGGCTCCCCTCAGGCCTCTGGGGCAAGGGGGTGCCCTCAGCAAGGGGCAGTGCTGCGGAGCTGGGCGGTCACTAGTGCCTC